AGCATTGTTTAATATCATCTAGCAATGGGAAACATTATTAAAGACAGGGACAGATGGAGAAAATGATTCTTGCTTTCATTAAGACTTCTTTATAAATATTTAGTTTCAATACATTTAGCTTTCCTATTCTTAATTTCTCCTCTTATGGAATTAGAATTTAAAAAAATAAATAAATGTAAGAATTATATTTAAAATCTATCCGAAAGCTACGCGAGCATGATAATAAAAACCATTTAAATTAAGACTCGTTCTCAGCATAATATCTGAAATTTTAAAAATAAAAACAATCGTCATTTCTGCAGGCATTTCAGATAACTGAGTATAAGATTTTAATTTTTATGCCCATCTGAATTTCAAAAATTTAAGCAGCAGTTTTTTTCTGTCATCGATGCAAACAGCGGAGTTTCCTAAAGAATGTTTTTTATGCACAGCCACATTTCTAAGGGGAAGAAAAAAGATAAAAAATTGCAAATGAGGGGCAAAGGTCTCAAGCACCTTAACCCTTGCGGCACAATGTGTCCGGTTTGGACTCACCTAAAAATTTCCTTCTGTACGCACAGAAAAATTGAATGACAAAAGATTTATAGGTTACTCTGAACCTTCTTTATTTATAGTAGATGGCAGCTCAACACAAACCAGTCCATATATTTTAGCCATGTTTAGTTTTTTAAGACCCTCATTTTTCAAAGAAATCTTGAAGATTTTTTTAGGGTATAAAAGGAATTGTTTGAAAAGAAATTCCTATGTTATTTTTTTGGCTGTATGCTAATATCCTTATTCTTTATTAGATTTAAATTTTTACCTTGAAATCTTGCCTAAAATCAAACGGCGAACCCTAGGTGTGCTCAGACCGGGCTCATCGATAATCTAGGACAACTGAGAGTCTGTATTCTTTGTTTCTCCGCATCTCATCGGTCAGTTCATTGACAACATTGCTCGTTTCAGAACTTTTCGAAGCTCAATTCAATCAGTGTGCCCACTTTGGGCACACCCACAGAATTAAAAGATAAGTGCTATCTTCACAAAATTTTACTTGTGTACTAGGCCTAATTAGACTGTCTACCTTTTTTTTTTTTTTTTTTTTTTTTAAATCAAAATTCCAATGTTAAAAGGTAGCGTGCCGGAAAGGGTTAAATAAGAATAAATTTTTAAAAACGACAATTTTAAAATTTAAGCATTTATTGCAAGATTTAGAAGTATCGTGCAGAATCACCATTCAGAATAATTCCATCTGCCTACAAATGCTGACAATTCAGCCAAATATCAAAATGAAACAAAAATAAGAAATTTGGAAAATTTGATTAGGAAGAAAAAATTGAAATCTGGATAACAGAACGTTTCCTAGTGGTTTACGTGCATTGTTATGTTTAGAAATATATTTCTGAACATGTAAATACAATACATAAGACAAGCGAGAATTTTGGAGACGCATTATTAGAAAAAGGGAACGACTTAAATAATATAATTATGAAAATATATTTAGATAACCTCAAATACTAGAAATCCCTTTATAACAAAGTCAGCATTACTAAGCTTCACGAAAAATGTCTTTAAATGAATGTGATTAACAAGTAAAAATCACCATTTGGTTTGTTCTATTTCAAACATTCTTTTCAGTTACGGAACTGGTCATTTCATGACGATAACTAAACTAGATAATCTAGAAGTTCTACCTCAGACATAATAAAGAAGATGAAGAAGAAAATTAAATGAAACATTTAAAAAAGTTGGAGGAAGTAATAGCAGACAGGTAGTCAAAGATAGGCATATGGTGCCCAATTAATTTGCCGTCATCGCTCTTTCAAGGATGGCAGATGCTAGTATTTTATATTCATTGTGTGCAACTTGTCATGAAGCCTATAAGGCAATCTATTTTAAATTCATCAGCAAGAATCTGTTACTTATATGTCAGGATATGATACCGAATCTCAGCCAAGATTTGAACTACTAGACTGCGTAGGCTTTACAAAGGTAAAAAAATGCCCCTCTCACCCCGTCCTTAAAGCGACGTGTGTAGCATGCAGCAAATCCACTTCTGTCGCCTGAAGCCAGAAGAAATTACATGGAGGGAGGAGGAAAAACGGGTTAGGGAACAGCTATTGTAAAACGATGTTGAAAAGAAAATGAGGATTTTTTTCCTTCCCATATCTACTTTTTTCTTTCCCTTTCTTCTTTCGACGCAATGCTGACCCCCCTTTCGTAGACTTAAGAAACTAACCATCCCACCCTTTCAGACTTTTCAAGCGACCCCCTTCCATATCTCCGGCATTAGCCGAGCATTAAAGATGTGGCGAGGCTATCTGTGTTAGAGAGTGGGTGTGGAGAGATGCATAATCGATATGTAAATGAGATGTACTCCGTTATTATAAGCAGATCGGAAATCGCCTCGGGCGAGCGGTCACAGGCGAGTAAACCGACATTTTGAAGCAGATGAAAAAGCATGGTAAGTGATGAGGTTTAAAAAAGGAAAAGAAGGACCAAAGCAAAGAGAGAATTGAATTAGAAGAAGGGAGTGTCTCAGGATATCGAATGGGCAACGATGCCTTTCCAGAACATGTGCGTTGCTTTACGCGATGAAGGAAGGCGTCACAATGCAGCCAAATAAAACTGTCAATTACCAGTCCCAACCACCCGACACGATGAATGCCAACCTTGAACGGAAGACAAACGCTTAAGGTATGTTCCAGTCGTCCTCTCGGCATTGATAGTAGTTCTTGGGAGGAGGGGCATGAACCTCAAATACCTTTTTCATTCCTATCATCCGCCTTTTCTCACACTCCTAACACAAATCTCATCACAACTCCGCTGGAGCGGAAAACATTTTCCTGCGCAAGAAAATGCATTGGAATATAAGGGCAATCTAATCAGAGGAACTCCGCGACTGTGAATGGCTGCTTGTTTGTGAGTTGTGAGAGCAGATTTCAATGTCTAAACGGAGCGTCTTGAATGAAAGGATTTGGGGAAAGGAGGGGGTAAGTGTCTAATCTCGGAACTCGTTAAAGGACACGGGTGGTAACGGACAGCGCATTAAATGATGATATCAAATTTCAAATGCATTTCCGTCCGGCTATATTCAATTATTCAAATTTAAAGATATAAGCGTCAATAAATAAAAAAGGTGATACGAATGAGATTTGCATTCAGAAGCAGTAATACGCTTCTCTTCTAGAAGCGAATGCAATTTGCAGTGCTTATATCACGTTAATATGCTAACAGGGGGAAAAAAAATAAATTTATCAAACCGTAGAAAAGAAGCACCTGCATGTTTCCCTAAATTTCAGTAATGAAATACTTCATCCAGTATATCTTTGTGAACTAAAATGCTTTCGATGGATGTAATTCTTAATTCACTCTGCTCAAGTTTTAATTAATGTTCGTGAATAAGCTCTGAAACAATGAACAAAATACATTTTCCCACTTTTGAGGAGACCGAAGATTTATAGCATTTCACGGTTCAGTTTAATACTACAAATACAGAGAAGCTACATAAACATAAGCAAGTTAATAATAAATAACAATACGGGAGTAAATCGCTTCTAACAAGTAACTTGTTCGGAAAGATTCTACCCCAAAATGTGTCCCTTACCTATTTTTTATACTTCACCTAAAATTAGTAATAGCAACAAATTTGAACGCAAGGCCGCGATTAAGGAAATCTAGGCCCCCAAGCATTCATGTTTTCCAAGAGCCTTTCATGCACACTTTCTCGCTTTTGTGACCCCCTCCCCCCCAAAAAAACAAGGCTATGAAAAGCTATAAGATGATTTAAGAGCCTCCTAAAGCCTGCAGCCCTAGGCTCGAAGCTTGTGGGCCTAAGTAGTAATCAGACACTCTTTGGATTCCTTCCAAACGAAGATTCAGTGTAACTTTAAGTGAACGCCTGTAACCTGTTATAACTGACACCTTGAAAAGATATAATTAATTTAAAAACCTTTAAAGAGGTGTCTATAAATGAAACAGTTTAATTCACCATAAAGACTTTATTATGTACGTTAAGTACAGCCTATGTCCTACATTTTACCATCAAGAGAGGAATGTATTTCATGAAACATTCGAAAACTCTAATAGTAATGAAAACGAATAATAAATATACAGATATCATCTATCACAAAATGCTTTTAGAGTTCAAAAGTCAACTAATTTTATCACTTTTTATGAGGAAAAAACTAATTAACTAATTACGTATGTGATGCGTGCAAAAAGAATGTGATGGCAACATACTGAATCATTACTTCGAAGTGAATCATTTAATGAGACAGAAGTTATGTGGAAGTCTTTCCTTAGAACAAGCACTACTGCAGTCTTGATTTCAAGGAAAGTTTTTTAACAAAAATATATCTGCTTTAAAAACACACGATCGTAGAAAATTATGAGGTAATAGAAAATTTGCAACCGATATGAAACTAAGATCACATTCAATAGAATAACAGCGCAGTCTGGCAAAAAAAACAAGTCTGGAAAAAAAAAAAAAAAAAAAAAAAAAAAAAAAAAAAAAAAAAAAAAAAAAACAAAAAACAAAAAAAAAAAAAAAAAAAAAAAAAAAAAAAAAAAAAAAAAAAAAAAAAAAAAAAAAAAAAAAAAAAAAAAAAAAAAAAAAAAAAAAAAAAAAAATAAAAAAAAAAAAAAAAAAAAAAAAAAAAAAAAAAAAAAAAAAAAAAAGAAAGCTGCAATACTTTTTGTTAATAATACGTGATACTTAGAATTATAGATTCACATCATATTAAAACAATATGCTAGTTTTCATGCAAATCTTACATCAAGAAATTTCCTATCATTCAGAGCACGAACACTACTATTAATTAATTAATATGTTATAGCTGATTTGATGAATTTCATTCAGCATGAGTAAGACAAATTAGATATGCACTGGAAACCAGGTTATTTAAACAAAGGATAAATTATAAAGAATGAATGCATCGGAAACAACGCTGATGATATAAAGCGAATGAAATAATCTCCATATGGCATAGGCCAATGGAATGGAGAATCAAATCCCATACCTCTAATTCTTTACTAATCCTCTTCTTGTTATTTAGATGTTTGGGGTCAAACTGCACCAGTAGTGACGGGATCAGGGTCTCCGTGGTCTCGGACAGTCTCTGGATTTGGCTTTCGACCAGAACAGGCGTCAGAGACAACATGAGGTCACTCGTGAGATACTCTCCTCCGCCCTTTAAGGGACAAAAAACATCTTTTTAGGTATCCATTTGCTGCTTCAAAAGCAGAAAATCTGCCAAATTTCCATTACTCAAAAGTATACAATTACCTCTCGTATCTCATCTCAAATTGAGTGAATCAAATTTTGAATGAATAGGTCTACAAAAAGGGCGGAATGATCAAGAGAATACTATTTTTGCATTTGCTTCATTGAAACTTCTCTTCTAGAAGACTGCATTCTTGAGCATCCCGATTCAAGCAGTCAAAATTCAACTATAACTATCTAGCTGCATACATAGGTAAAGAACCTAAAAGGCAGCTGTAGATACCTTTCTCTAACATCTTAGTAAAATACTTAGATAAGCTACTAGCTTTACTTTTTGCATAATTTATTAAGTAAACTACATATAAAATAAACAAAAACCTGCAGTAAAATAGCATAACCATACCAACTACAAATCCAAAATAATAACAATAATAGTAATAATATAAACTAAAAATCGAAATAATACTTAACAGTAACTTAAGACACAGTTCTAGTGAAAGACGTATTAATAAGAAAATATAAGACAGAGAAACAAAAATATTGCAAGCTTATAAAGCCAGAACAGTAGCATTTTTTTTTTCCGTAACTGCATTATCGATTGAAAGCTCTCAGAATAAAAATCAAATAAACTCTGCATAAATGCTGTTTTTTAAGCTATTTATTTATGTAAATGCCGTATTATTGCAACAGCAAAGCGGGTATTAACCGAAAAATCAACTGCCTTCCAAAACTAAAATTCCGAGAGCGATATTTTTTACAACCAATTTATCGCTTCGCGTTACAAAAACTAAAATTTGAAACGCTAATTTTAGTAACAGAAATAAAAACTCAGCCTAACAGCATGTGTACGATTTACTTATTAAAAAAAAAAAAAAAAAAAAAAAAAAAAAAGAAAGAAAGAAAAAGAAAAAATGGAAGATGGCAACACAAAAAATAATGCATTTAATACTGTAATCTTTCAATTTACTACAAAAATGATCAAACAAACTTAACAATACCAGCATACATAATCACATGATCATATATCAATATAAAGATAAATTTTGATGCAACAGTACTGATTGCTAAATTTCTAAGAATAATTATATTAATTAGATTTTTTAAAATTACAGTATCTAACGAAATATATAACATTACAACAGATTATTCTTCTCACAACATTTAAAATGAAATGCACGAAAATTTAAGGATTATTATTTTTCAAATTTAAGGATTTAAGGATTATTATCTTATACAAATGTTCTGATAACACATAATAAATATTTTCCTAGTAATATTCATAAACAAATACAGGAAAGTCTCTACTGTTTAGACATCATATACTATAAGCCAAGTTTTAGATTTTCAAATTAAGTAAATAAATAAGCAAAAAATTAGTAACGAACATTAACAAATAATAGAAGGCAAGTCGCGATCATAAAGTTTTTAATCTAGAGGGATTTCGTAAAACTTCCATATGAACTTTTAATATAACACCATATTATTTAGAGAGGTCAAATGAAATAGTGCTTAAGAGAAAGAAAGAGAAAAAATGATTAATAACAATAGGACATGTTATGTGTATTTGATTTCACAATGAATAGTTAAGGCTAATAAAAATAACAAAAATCTCATACTTATTGGAAACGTGAAAATAACAAATAAACACACTTGCATATTTGTGAAAACAGAGAACTCTAAGCAAACGGTGAAACTGTTCTGTTTCTTGATAAAGTAAACATTTCGGCATCCCAGTATCTTTTCATTTAACATGATCACACGAAAGAATAACCAAGATAATTTCAATAAAATTTTCAAATTTTAATTAATTACGCACTTAAAATTTCTGAATAAACAACACACTGTTTTAAATTCATATCAATGAAGAATGTAACCAAAGAATTAAACATTAAGATTGAAAAAAAAAAAAAAAAGTATTATCACTGAGCAGCAAGGTTGAAACCAAAAATTATTTACGGAATTTGGAGTCGTATATTTCTTCACTTACGGGTAAATATTTTCCCTCCCTTTACTAGAAATCGCAGTTGCTGAAGAAGTTAGAAGTTAAAAATATAAAAATGCATTTGTTTTCCTCATTTATTTTTTACAATTGCAAGTACCTAACTTGTCGAGGAAAAAATGAAATTTCTTTCAAGAAAATGTGTCTTTAAAAAAAAGGGAGGAATGAAACAAATGACCGAAATATATGTGATCAAAACAAATTAAATTAAGAAAACAAATTAAAATAGCTATTTTAGGTCGTATGTCACGCTTAAAGGTTCAAAAAATAATTCACATTGCTGTTTTTAGCAATAATCCGTAACTAATATGCTCATGACTTATTGCATCTATAAAATTTCATTCAGGATACAAAGAGGCGAGTCTGAACGTCTTAAAATTTACGACATAAAAAAGTTCTCAAAATGTAAAACAGAGTTAAGCCAAATAAGTGTATTTATTTACTTTTAAATACGGAAAGCGAAAGTAATTGAAACATCAACGAAATAATTAAAACAAAAATTTTATGTATAGGGTAATAACTGCGAAACTTTAAAGTTATATCTTTTATAAATGAACTACTAAAATTAAATTGCATAAAATAGCTAAAACTGAAACATTGAAAATACGCTAACAACTTGAACATTTAAAATCTGAAACATTGAAAATACGTCAACAACTTGAATCACAGAGCTATTAAACTTCGATAAAGTTAGGTTTTAAAGTACACAGTAAAACTGACAGCTGTTCACTTGCTGCAAAGTAATAAGCCAAATAAATTAGAAAACGTCTATGGATATACAGAATGTAAGAACATTCAGTGAATATAAACTATTATTTACTCGGATTACGGGGGGGAAAAAAAAAGTGGAAAACTGATTTCTAAACTGAATTAAAGCACTTCATGAGACCTGGGAGGTGAACATGCATAAAATCCGAGCACGCAATTAAAACCCATTAAAAGCTATTTTCATGCTTCATTTTACACTCTCTAAATACAAGAGAGTGCTATAAATGAAGAAACTTCTCAGAGATAATGTGAATAGCATAAAACAGCTCGTATATTCCCTCTTATTTAGGAAAGCAAATTTGCTCATACATTGCAAAGGACTGAAAAAAAGATACAGTTTCATTTCAAATTTTATTTTAAATAGAAGGAATACGTTCAGGATGCAGAAATTCAACACACTTTTTCTCGCACAGAAAATAGGGAAAAAAAAAAAAAAAAAAAAAAAAAAAAAAAAAAAAAAAAACAGAATATTAATTATTAATCAGTTTTTCTTAGTGAAGAAGAGAGATTTTGACGAGAAATCTAAGAAATGTTTACTGATTTAGATTTCATTATGACTTGCTAATAAATGTCGATCACTACGAAAGGAAGACGGGAAAAATGAAGCAGAAAGTTTAGTTTGGTTTATTTAATTTAGGTGAAGCACAAAGGGGCTGTCTGCCAAGCACCATAGCAATTTTGACAGACAGCACCTCACAAAGAATCGGGGAGGAATTTGATTGTTTTCAGTTCGAAATCAAGTATCTCAGATAAGAAGTGTCTCGTTGTCTCATTTATTTGAAATTATTGCATGAAAAAGTTAGCAATGCACATATGCACATATGCACTTGAGAAAATTCTCCCGTTTCAGATTTTAACTAGTCAGCACTAATTTTCCTAATAATCGGCATCACAGATCACGAGAATAGCACACAATTGTGTCAGTGAGAATTAACATACTATAGCACAAATCTAATTTGTATTTTAAGCAATCAGATGGCATCTGCCTCCGACCAGCTATTCATACTCTAAATATTCCACATCAAATGACTCATCTTAAAAACATCACCTCCCACCAAATGATGCTGCAAAAGCAAAATATCTGATCAATTTCAGATAGTGAACAATATAATCTTATAGGTGCTTTTCGCAAGTTAAACGCCAAAGACTTGTTAAAAAGCCAATATCACACAATTATTAACTGGCCATGGGCCATTCCCTGACTACTTATATCGGTTTGCCTTATGTGCAAAATGTGCAACTATGGAGATACTGGTACCCCGGGGGGGATATAACATCTTTGACTGCGCTCTCACACAGTGTTTTCACTTAAAACGTTCTTCTACAGATCACCTCCATGCTTGGAGTCATAACACTCTCAATAACAGTATAATTTTGTATAAAATCAGGGAAGCATTCAAATTAGCAGCTTCACTTATCCAATTTTAGCCATTCTCTTGCAGCATTACATAACATCACCTTTACAATCTCTTTATTGTAGGAATTTCGTTTCTCCAAAAAAAGCACCGCCAATCGAAATTTCTTTAAGCAGAATAAAACAATACACATTTTACACCGTAAACAAGTGCTTCAATAATTTTAGGAAGATTTAATGTTAGTCTTTTAATTTGACGTAGCGAAAATTCAGAAAGTTTGATATGCTAATTCGCTCCGCATTACAATCTTGAGGATACGCTATACATTTTCCTAGTTCTGTTGCTACCCTGTGTATTGTAGAAACTTGGTTTGCAGAATGAAAAGTTTTTAGACACAAAGTGATTAGAAACAAATTTTATAGCTCTAAAACTACATAATTTATAGGTACAAAGTAATTCTAATACATTCGTTGAACCATAACATCCGGCAAAAGTATGGAAAATGGACATTTTTTCAGATGATATTGAATGCTGGGATGTTTCAATGTAGAACGTAGATTACTATAATATACCCCATTCAGTTTTAATTAAAAAAACACAAATTAGAAACTAAAATTCAATAAACAGTACATGAGAAGAGTTTCTTTTGCTTGAAAGTCTCCAACAGAAGAAATAATAAAGGTCTCGAGTTTTATTCATAATTGTATTTGTCAAATCGATGAATTAATTGCATGAAATCAGTTTGCATAACTGTTTTATGAAGTCAGTTTTCTGGGACTTAGCAATTTTCTTGCAATGAAAGCTTAAAATCGATTCTTAACATAATAGCACTTCCCCCCCCCAAAA